GTCCTAGAACAGGGTAGATAACAATTTCAGCTTTGAGAGTACATTTGGAATTTTGAGAGCAAATCACTGACATTCTTGCAAAACAGCTGTTAGGCAAGATTTGCATACTCAAATTAGCTGTGTTAACGTGGCAGCCAATTGCAAAAAAAAAAAAAGGAGGGGTGTGTTCACTAGAAAGCAGATTGGTGAGATTCTTCCCTGCCATCCCTTTTAGCCTTGTAGAATATTCCCTACCATCTCATTTTATTTTGTGTTTTTTCTAAAGAGGTAGGCATATTTGCCTAATTGTAATTACCTAACTTTTTAGTGGCTAAAGAGGCTTATATGGGATCCAAAGGCATTTGTAGGAATAAAGATGCTAGCTTTCTATCCATTTTAAAATAAATGGGTCTGTAAAGAAGGTATGTTAGTTACAGTATCTCTGTATTGTTTATGTTGGTTTACTTGTTTAAATATTTGCCTCAGCTTTATACTAGTGTATTTGATTTGTACTGTTATGTGCTCAGAATATATTCTATTCTTAGTAGGTGAAGGAGGAGAGACAAAAATCTGCATAAGTTTATCCATTAACAGTCTTTGCAACTCCTTGATTTTTATTTATTTGCATAATTCTGTGCTGATGGTCAAACTTGAATTTAGTACAATAACATAACTTGAATCAGAGTAAAATTTAATGGTTTAAAACCATAAACACTTTGGAATTTATTTGCATAATCTTTACAGGAAGTGGACAGTCAGCACCCAGCAGCAGTTTAACTTCTCCAAGCCATGTCAATCTTTCTCCAAATACAGTTCCAGACTTTTCTTATTCTAGCAGTGAAGATGAATTTTATGATGCCGATGAATTCTATCAGACTAGCTCATCCCCAAAGAGATGTTTGGAGTAAGTGATAAAAAAGTATGCAGACAGTTATTTCCTCTTAAGAGTTTGGAAAGTTGTGCATATGTCAGCCCCTGAATCTTTTCTCCACTGCTTATGCAACATTCATACTATAAAATAATGTTATTGTAGCAATTAACTCCTGGGAGGCATTTGACCAACCTCTCTGTGTGCACTTTCAAGATTGGCTTTTTATCCATGAGCTGATAGAGTGCGTGGTTGGTATTCCCAGTTCAAAACAATCTTGCATGTCTATAGATGTAGTGGGATAGTCTTTTAAGGAGAAGGCTTCTTAATTTTTTTATATACAAATCCTTTGCTTATTTGTTCAAACATGCTATACAAATGTAAACCATTTTTATTTTGTCTCTGTTCTACTTCCTAAGAAGTATATTTACTCTACCTATTTAAGTTGGCATGTATTTAAGCTTTTTGTCAGGTATACCTTAATAGTATGAAAGATCTTTCAAACTTAATCATATTTGGAATTGTCTCAAATATGTTCTATATTCAGCTACAAGAATTTTGTATTTTTCCATAGCCCCTCAGGATCTGGAACAATTTTAACACGTAGCAACACAGGAAGTAGCATGAAACGCCCAGACACAGCGGAGTCCCTCAACTCTTCAGTGTCTAATGGGACAAATGATGCTGGTAAGAGAAATTCACAAATTATTTAGGCTCTTAATAACGTGTTCATTCCAGTTCCAGCATGCTGGTATTTTTTTAATGATTTAAATAAATTTCTTCTTGTATTTTTAAAATGTGGCCAAGTAATTACAATGATGCATTTATTTTTATAGATCTTTTTGATCCTCATGATGACAGAGATGATGATGCTGAAGGGGAGTCGGTGGAAGAACACAAAAGTGTTATCATGCACCTTTTATCACAAGTTAGGTTAGGAATGGACCTAACAAAGGTAAGACTCAGTTCTTGGAAACTGTCACTGAGGGAAAGGTTCAAGTGTGAGGTATATGAATCTCTAGGAAGTAGAATAGAAATTTTCCAGCACCCTCTTTTTAAAACCTATACTTTTCAGGTAGAACCGATACCAAATCAAATCAGTTCATAATTGGTTTTTTAGTATTTTAAATTTTATACTTGTGTTTTATTGGTCTAAGTTCATAAATAAATGTTTGATTTGGTTTGAATTGATGCCAATGCAACACAGAAAGTCTAGAAGGCAGTCCTACCTAGTAATGTGCCTTGACACTCAATGCATCACTTTCATTGAAATTAATCTGATTTTGAAATTTGAACTTACTACATTTTCTGTGTATAAGATTTTGTTTCTCTTTCCTCAGGTGGTTCTTCCAACTTTTATTCTGGAAAGAAGATCACTCTTAGAAATGTATGCAGACTTCTTTGCGCATCCTGATTTATTTGTGAGGTATTAAATTTTTGGTCATATACTGGTTTTCTCCCTTATTACCACATGAAAGTTTGATAATACTTTGCACCGCATACAGAGTTAGTCACATCTATTTCATTGGGTACATTTTTATATAAATCCATATATTATTTCTTTTTTATATATATATAAAACAAAGCAATTTGCCTTTCAGGTAAGCATAGAAACATTTTTTTCCATTTGGAATTAAACCTCTTGAGGAAATGTGTGTATTTTGTTTCAAAGTAAGATAAATTCCTTGTGTTTTCTTTAGTATTAGTGATTACAAAGATCCAAAGGATCGTATGATTCAAGTGGTAAAATGGTACCTCTCAGCTTTCCATGCAGGAAGGAAAGGATCTGTTGCAAAAAAACCTTACAATCCCATCTTGGGAGAAATCTTCCGATGCCATTGGGTACTGCCAAGTGCTGAACAAGAAGAAAACATGGTTAGTAAAATGGCTACACATCTGCATGACACTTTCAGCCAGAAGAAGCCAGAGAGAGTAGAAGTCGTATCATATTTGAACAATATAGCTGCCAGAAAACAAATTACAAAAGGTAGCTTATGGCCATGGTGAGAGGAGCCACTTGGCAACTAAATTGAACGAGAAGTTCCCATTATATAACCCATTCAATTTTAAATGTGAATTTACTTGTTTAACATCAAACCATTATGTTGCTTTATGCCATTTGTCTTCTGCTCAAAGTTTTTTCATGGTCATTAGCTGGATTACTGATTATTATTACATTTGCGTTCAACTTTTTCTCCAAGGAGTTCATAGTAGTGTTTGTAGTTGTCCTGCCCTCCCATTTTACGATGCTAATAATCCTGTGAAATCGTTTAGGCCGAGACATGGTGATCAGTCCATGGTCTGATAGTGGAATTAATGTCTGAGTAGGGCTATATATTGAATAAAATAACAGAATTGTGGACTGATTCTTAGAAGTTCTTTTCTTTTTCTTACCCAGAGCAATTATCTGGCTTTTCCTCATATAGGGTAATGGAGTCTGTCAGTAACTTTGCGACTAGTACTTCATGGAGTAAATTTATAGTTAATTGATAGATGAAGATCACATTTTCCATATAATATTTTGTACATACTCACAGTGAAGAATGCCCATTCTGATTGTTAGAATGATATGTAATGTAGTCTGGATGTGACTTTGCAGATGTTTTTTCACTGGGTGTAGTATTTTATCAGAATTTCACAAACTTGTCTACATTGTATGCTGATCACCAGACCTGAGGCATATATAAGCCTCCATCATATTTTTACTAACAGCAAATTCAGCTTTGAAATGTGGGGTCAAGGGATGGATAATAGAATAACTAGAAGGATGGAGAATTGGAATGGATTTTTCGAAAGTGTGTGGTTGGTTAACTAAAAACTAACCCTGAACAGGAGCTTTTCATATTGTTAAAGTTTTATTTTATGATGTCTATATAAGATGAAAGTGGTGGATTTTCCAATTTTTGAAGTATAGTAGTATTAATTTTATTTTAAAAACAAAAGGAATAACAATATTTTGTGACTCTTACTGCTTTTTAAAAAATGTGATTAAATCTATTTATTAATCTCCTGGAAAGATAATTAGAATGCTGCACAAAGTCAGTATTTTCTGATCAAGAAGATTCCTTATAAATTCAGATGTTGAAACCCTAAAGATATTGTAGCTTATCAGTGAGTTCTTTCTGAATAGTCTATGCCAGTATTGCTGTATTCCAGTTACTTAATTACCATTTTGCTAATAGGTATTCTGTGATCTCACTATTCTTATACTAGGACAGAAGGATAGGAGACAATGAAAGCCTTAAGTCTTACAGTGCTCAAATTCTTCATTTTACACTGTATTCCTAGATATGCAAAATACACATCTTCCATATTATAGCACACTAAAGTGTTGTTTATATAATTTTCAAAAGTAATACTTGCGTAGCATTTCTAGTTTGAAAGAAAGTTATTTTATTTAACCCAAGCCTCCTTTCAGTTCTTCTTTAAGAGCAATTGTTAAATATATGGCAGACTTTTTTTAGGAACTCTGTTACAGACATAAATTATCTTTTCTACTGTTTAAAGAAACTTCAGATAGAGAATATTTGTAAATATCTCATGTGCACAAAAAGAAATGTATATCATGTAAAGTTTGAAACCTTTTTGCAGGAGACAATTGCAGATGGACCTGTTCCATGGGTTTCCCAAAACAGTGTGACATTTGTAGCAGAACAGGTTTCTCACCACCCTCCAAGTAAGTTGTTTTGTTTGTACATTATTTAAAAATCTATTGTTTCTGTTTACATTTTGAAACATCAGCCTTTTTTTTCTGTAAATTTGTTGGGAAAGCAGATATGTACTTATTTGCTTTGTACTTATTTCCTGCATTACAGTTTACCATATTTATTTGTCCTTTTAAGTTTCAGCATTTTATGCAGAATGCTCCAGGAAGAAAATTCAGTTCAATGCCCACATCTGGACCAAGTCAAAGTTCTTGGGAATGTCTATTGGTGTTCATAATATAGGCCAGGGTATGTCTGTCATATTTGTATTTTACCTAATCCTGGGTTCCAGTTCTATAATTATAAAGTATTTGTAACAACATATATAAGTATTTCTTTTTTCCTAATAGAGATAGCATCTGACTGCTGGTAACAATACTTTTAAACTATTGATTCTGAGCTCCTCAGTGTTTCCAGGCTCTGGTGTGTGGTAGGGAAATTTCTGTGACTTATGTAGGTTGTGACTTGTTGCTATTTTCTGTCTTTCTGTGCTAATGCAAGTAAATGTGGATTGCATAATCCAGCACAGGGACAGGCAATATCTGGTTTTTCAGTTAGATAAACTTAATCAGCATTAGCCAGTCTTGGCACAGTGAAGAGGTGCAACAGGAGTTGCAATCTAGTAGCAGCTGGAGACCTATATGTTGCTGTCACATACTACATTGTCATGGCTGATTCTTATCAAATTTAGTCTTGATGAGCAATGAAAACTGCTATCGTTGCTTGTCTGATATTAACCTGGAGCAAATAGTTCAATATTTTCTTGCAGTGGCCCCTATGATAGGATAAACCAGAATTCAGTGTAGGGATTCACATTGCCTTGCTCATTATCAATGACTGTACCCGCTAACAGATGCCGTTAGTTATCTGTTTAGTGTCTTCTCTCAGAATAGGAACAAATTTCTGGCTTGCTTATTATAATCATGCCCTTTTCACAGTCACCCACACCCTAGTTACCTCCCGTTTGGACTGTTGTAATACATTCTACATGGGGCTGCCCTTGAGGAGTATCCAGAAATTTCAGTTGGTTCAAAATGTGGCAGCCCACATGGTTTTGCACAAGCCTAGATTTGTGCATGTGTCACCTCTTTTGTGGGAGCTGCATTGGTTGCTGGTTTGCTTCTGGGTCCAATTCAAGGTGCTGGTTATCACCTTTAAAGTCCTACATGGCTTGGGGCCAGGTTATTTTAAGGACCGCCTTTCCCCAGTTACATCTCCCCGGCCCACCAGAGCAGGGAGGCAGGGTATGTTGAGGGTCCCTTCAATGAGGGAAGTACATCTAGTGGGACCAAGAAAAAGGGCCTTCTCCATGGTGGCTCCTTCCCTATGGAATATCATTCTCCCAGACATAAGACTGGCCCTCACCTTGATACTTTTCCAAAAGGCCCTGAAGACGTTTTGTCAGCGGGCCTGGGCACCCCAGGCTGATACAGAGCTGATCAAATGATTAATTTGAATGTGTTTGTTGCCGCTGGGGGTGGGGTGGGGTGTTTATGGGGTTTTTTTGTATTTGGGTTTTAATTCTGTAAGTTGCCCAAAGTCACCATGTGTGAGTTGGGCAGCCATATACATTTGTTTAATAAATAAATAAGAATACAACATCAAGTACAAACCACTGGGAACCATCATAGTAGTGTGTACCAGCATACTGCTCATTCCCTGCTAAAATTCTGGCTTACAGTTTTCATCAGAAATAATAATTATTTATAGAACATCCTGGGTATTACCAGAAGAAAAAAGCTTTGGTAATAGTACTGAAAAAAAAATCTGACAATTGGTTGCATAGCTTGATCTTTATTACTTCTTCTTGTTGGCTTTTATTGAAATGCTCTGCAGATGTAATTTTAGCAGGGATATTTAAGTTAAAGGACTGCATTTTGGAGAAAAATACTATGATTTGTCTAAAACACTTCAACCCTTAAATATTAAAAGCAATACAATCATAAGTTAATTTTTTTTCCTAATTTTTCTGGCTCTATTTTGCTGTTAATAATCACTTTCAACTAGGATTTCCAAAGTAGCAGTTTGCTCAGTCATCACTCTAGTCCAAGGATGGCAACCTTGGTTGCTCTTTTTTTTTTAAGAGACTATCATTACTGGAAAAGACAAGGCTGAAATGTTTGGCTTGGGAGAGCGTGGTTTGGATTGTGTGTAAGTAAAATAGATATATTTACTCTTTCAGAGCTAAATATACCCATTCTGCTTTTGGCAATGGCACAGGGGTGGGGGAGGATTGGGCTGCGGAAACATAGGTGACCCAAGTGGCCTGATAGATTATTCTTGTTCACCTTGCTTTAATCATTGTTGTTTTCCTCTTTTTATATGTTTAAAAAAAATTGGTGTGATCCCATACTGTTGTATTTTACAGGGTGTGTATCATGCTTAGATTATGATGAACATTACATTTTGACCTTCCCCAATGGCTATGCAAGGCAAGTAATACTAGTTTTCAGTGATTTTATAAGTGATAAATTGTTTGTCTTCCTAGCTATTGAAAAATCTGAATTGGTTTTCTTGACAGATCTATTCTCACAGTGCCATGGATAGAGCTGGGAGGAGAGTGCAGCATTAGCTGCTCGAAGACAGGCTATAATACTAACATAATATTCCACACAAAACCTTTCTATGGGGGGAAAAAGCACAGAGTTACAGCGGAAATATTGTAAGTGTGTGTATGTGTGTGTGAGAGAGAGAGAGAGAGAGAGAAATCAAGCTCATTTCAAAATTCTGATATAAAAGTTATAATAGAACTACTGGAGACTACTTCTAATATTCCCTAATCTGGGGCCATCAAAATGTGTTAGTACAGCCATATTAGTTGGAGAAGACAGTAATTGCAGTCAGTCATCTGCAGGGGACCAGTTTAGGGAAAGCAATTGTAAAGAATTTGACAGATACTCTCAGCAGGTGGCAGCACCTAACCAACCTTTTCTGGGCTTAGAAGCTAAGTAGGGCTGGGCTGGGTAATACTGGAATGAGAGATTTTTAGAGAATACTATTATTGTAGGCTAGACAGGGACATTGAAAAAACATCCCAGAAGAAGGCAGTGGGAAATCACTTTCAAACTTTTCCCAAGAAAATTACATGGCTGTGCCAGTGAAATCACCAGGAGTCAAGCTTGACTTGAAAGAGTTCTGTGTACCATACTGAACTAAGTATTGAACTAAACTGACATGGGAGTGGCCCCTGGTTTTAATCCTTCCTTCTATTTTTTAGTTCACCTAATGATAAAAAATCCTTCTGCTCAATTGAAGGAGAATGGAATGGTATCATGTATGCGAAATATGCAACAGGGGTAAAGTACCTTATTTTTTAAGTTTTTGGTTAATTAATAGATTAAAATATTTTGTTGCATTTCCTCTTTTGTATTCCATATGAAAAAGTTTGATTCCTTCCAAGGATGTCATTCATTTAATTTACCAATTAATCAAGACTTCAGCTCCAAAGGCTGCATAATTAGTCCTCACTTAATGATGGTAGTTGGGACCAGAATTTCTGTCACTAAGCAGTGCAGTCATAAAGCACATCACGTGACTGCATTGCTTAGCAAAGGCAATCCCAGCAGTCCTGTTGCCATCATTAAGAGAGGATCATGGATTGTTAATTGAGGACCTCCTCACAACTTCCTGCTGGCTTCCAACAAGGAAAGTCATTGGGGAAGCTAGCAGGAAGTTGCAAGTCCCAGGCAGCTCGCAAGCAGGCCAGTGGGTGGCTAAGTGCAGCTTATGCTGCAACACAAGCATGGCACTGCCAGGAGTGGCTGCTGCCAGTTGAGGGAGGGTGCACAGGTGACCACTGCAGGCATTCATGCGTGCTATGGAGTATGAAATCCCTGGGATCTCATACTCCATAGCTGGGCTCCTTGGGAGAAAAGGCCATGGAAGTGCGAGTGACTTACATGAGTGTCTTGCAACCATCCCTGCCGACTTCCCCATTGACTTTGCTTATGGGAAGCCAGCAGGGAAGGTCGCAAATGGTGATCATGTGACTGGGGACACTGCAACTGTTGTAAGTGCAAGCTGACTGCCAAGTGCCTAGATCATGATTGCATGACTGCAGGGTTGCTGGGATGGCCAGAACACTGAGGACCAGTCATACCACTCGTTTAGCACCATTGTAACTTTGAACAGTTGCTGAATGAGTGCTTGTTAACTGAGGACTATTTGTATAAGGGAATAAAAAAGATTAAGCCATTTTCTGGATACAGCATGCTTGGGGGTGTTGTTGACCTAATGGATACTGTTCTGTGGTTAACATAATTTTTTAATGAAATTAATTGCATTATTGGAGAGCTGATATTGGACTCCATTCTGTTTGTCTTTATATAAAGAAGTATAGATATGAGAAGTACTAATAAATATCTTAATGCAAAACAGATGTAAAAAACTAATAAGAGATTTTCTTTCTTTAGGAGAACATAGTCTTTATAGATACCAAGAAAATGCCTATCATTAAGAAGAAAGTAAGAAAACTAGAAGATCAAGAAGAGTATGAATCCCGCTGGTAAGCATTAATATACTTTTCTTGGTTTGCTATAATAAGAACTTCAAGAAAATATTTTCAAAATCAAGTAGTGATTTATTTGAACTAAATATAAGTAATGTCAATGAACATGGGATAAGATAATTAATTTGTTATTACAGTATTTTATATGCTGCCTGTTTCAATTGGATTATCAGTAGTTCACATACATATAGAAACCTTAAAACCAAAAAAAGTACATTAAAACATTTCCTTCAATTATAAAAGTACAATCACCCCATCTTCAAGAGATCTTCAACTTCCCTAGATGGGAAGAATGCATTGGATAAGTCTACATGTAGAACACATTGCAATAATCCAGCCTATTAGTGACCACTAGGATCTCCTATTCCAGGTAGGGCCACAACTGGTACACCAGCTGCTGCAGAGTGAAGGACACCGTAGCCATGGTCTCTGCCTGCCTATTGAGCAATAGCCATGAACCTAGCATGACATTTCATTCATGGATCTGCTCATTCAGGGGAGGCCTGCAACACAATAACCAGAACCATATGGGTTCTGGACAAATAGATCTCTATCTTGCTAAGTTTAATTTCACTGTCTTTTTTCTCATCTAGTCCCTTACAGCATTCAAACACTTCCACAGCATCTCCGGCCCAGTGTAGCAATATGAGTATCATCAGCATATTGATGATACCTCACCCTGAACTGGCTGATGACCTTCTGCTGTAGTTTCATGTAGACATTAAAAAGGGATGAAAGAGATGAACCTGTGGATCTCCACAAGGGAGCAACTGCCAGGCCATCCTTCCCTCTTCCCATCCCCACCAACTGGAATTTTGTAGTGGGCAGTAAGAGTAACCTCGGGATACAGGAGGAAGAGCCATAGCCAGGGAAATGGTCAGACAGATATTTCAGCCCACGGAAAGAATAGGGGTGGAGAAAGCATCTCAGAAGTTCTCTAGTTCTAAGGAAAGGGGAGGGGAGGGGAGAAGCACTTTCAGACTTGTAAGATTCTGTTACTGTAACCTTACAATAAAGATAGTGTTAGTCCTCAGGATTTTGGTTTCCTGTCTGGACTGCCACAAAGGGCTGACAAATTTATTACTATTGAAGGAACAGAACTAACTGAAGCACAGTGTCCCAACTCCAACCCTTGCAAGTGGTACACGATACCATGACTAACAGAACTGAAAACTTCTGAGATGTCTAATAGGACCAAAGGGACACCCTCTCCCTATCCTGCAAAGATGATCCGCTGGGGGAATATTGCTATCTCTTTCCAGTGCAAAGTCCTGCATTCTGACTGGAAGGGATCCAGATAATCCGTTTCATCTAGGGATTCTGCAATTGGAGCCCCACCAGCTTCTTGGCAACTTGCTCTGAAAAGGGAAGGTTGGAGACTGGGCAAAAATTATGTAAATTGGATTTTCAAGATCTGCACCAGCGCCTCTTTTAAGGCGGCCAGCATCACACCCACTCTGATTTAATGCATTATTATCTTCCTGATCTAGCCACTCACTCCTCTCCTCACTACTTGGGCATAGAACTAGCACACAGCAGAGCTCATAGAGATCACCTTATTCCATTTTCCCAGAATTGATAAGCCAAGAAAAACTGCAGGTTACCTCACAAGGTATTATCCCACTTGCCTTCTCAAGATTCAGGACCTGAGTGAATTTGAGCAATTTTATCAGCAAAATGTTGCACAAACATCTCACAGTAACCTCAGATCTTCCTGAATCTCACATCTTCAAAAGGAGCAAATCAACCTAAATATGGCTGCTGAGGCACATTCCACTAATGCAATAAGGGTGGAAGAGTAAGAATTCTTTGCCAACCCTATTGTTATTATATAGGCTCAAACATGAACCCTTATCCAGTTCAGTCAAGTTCATTTCTGGTCTTCCTCTATCAACATTCCAAGTTCTTTTTTGCCACTTCATCTTCTGGAGTTCCTTACTAAATCTCAGGGAGCACCTCAGATTAGTGAGCAGAGAGAGGCCACCGAGGAGCAATCTCATCACACTCTCTAATCTGTATTTCAGGGTTCAAGCAGATATTTGGTGGAACTGCCTGCCAAATTGTTAGGACACTCACCAGGTGCTTTCAGAAATAAATCAGGCTCCATAAAGCAACTTCAAACCATTCTAATTGGACCCATGGATGTCCATGGTAGTGATAAACTGCATTCAGATCAGGAGTGATCTGACCACAGCATGGATCAACTGTAACATTTTCTATAGGTAGTCCTCAACTTACGACCATTTGTTTAACAACTGAAGTGCTGACAGTGCTGAAAAAAGTGACTTATGACCAGTTCTTGCACTTATGACTATTGCAGCATCCCCACGATCACGTGATCAAAATTCTGGTGGTTGGCAACCAGCATGTATTTATGATGGTTGCAGCATCCTGGGGTCACATGATCACCATTTCAACCTTCCCCAGGGGGCTTGTGACAGGCAAAGTCAATGGGGGAAGCCGGATTTGCTTAATGACCACACAATTCACTTAATGACTGTAGCAAAAAAGGTTGTAAAATTGGGCACAACTCACTTAATGACCACATTGCTTAGCGATGGAAGTTCTGGTCCCAGTTGTGGTCATAAGTCGAAGACTACCTTTAGTTTCAAATCAGAAATTACAATTTGGCCAGATTTAACACCACATGTAGGATGGGATTGTTAGAGTTTGGGAACAAATTTGATTGCTTTAATCATTCTTTGCAGACATGTCTTTCCAGATTATTTTTTTTTTTTGTTTGCAACTTGATTGGGGCAGACTTGAACATTTTTGTATCATTTTTTTTTAAGCCTATGGAAAGATGTAACCTATAATTTAAAAATCAGAGACATTGATGCAGCTACTGAAGCTAAGCATAGGCTCGAGGAAAGACAAAGAGCTGAAGCCAAAGCCAGGAAAGAGAAAGAGATTCCATGGGAAACAAGGGTAAGTTTAATTCGGACATCATTTCCTGTGTAAATCTTTTTGCTCCTATGAAATTGTTAATGAGTACTCTTCTCTTACAGCTGTTCCACGAAGATGGAGAATACTGGGTTTATGATGAGCCACTACTCAAGCGACTTGCTGCCAGTAAATATTAAGCAGGCCAGGCCTGTGTAGTTCAATCCTTGGCTTAGTGGCACTAATTGTAATATTCAAGGACTCTTCTTTTGGAGAGCCCGTCTCCTCCAGTTACAGTTCCTATCTCAGGGATACTGGACTTGCTCATGCAGTGAACAATTAAAACAGGAAGAGCCCTGACTGTGTAGCAGTAATTTATATTGGCCTTTCCTGTCTGACCTCTCATGCTTCTAAGAGAATAAAACCAAGGCTCGAGCTAGACATACATGCTAAGCATTGCTGTAAAAGGCGCAAAGAGGCATATACCTCTTACATACTCCATTCTGGTATTTACATACTACATTCACATGGCTTCACTTAATTAGAACTTGTTAATTTCTGTGTAAATATAAGGACTTCTTTTGCCAGTTTAGAAAACTCAAGGTAGTGTTTAATAATAATAATAAAAATCTGGCATTTGTTTCCCCAAAAAGACTTTGAATTTTTAGAAACAGAAATGTAATTATAGATTACCACTTGATTCTTGCAGATGCCTCTATAATGCTTCATAAAATAATTTTCAAATGTATGCATTGTTTTATTTTAGAGCAAATCATTTACGGTCTAAAATGCTTTGCTATAAAGATGTTTAGGACAAGTTGATCCCATTCAGTGGAGATATTAATTTGGAAAATTCAGTTGCCCATATCGTATACTGATTTATATCCTAAATGACATAGAATGGAGACTAAGTGACCAGTTGTTCCTGATTACATCTGTTCTATCTTAAAGACTTGTGTCTAGACACAAACAAGTGATCACACTGAGATCTGTGCTATTTTCTTCAGATGCTGGTGGTAGCTTTAAGTTCCATGGGTTGACTTTATCGGTCTGATTTTCTTTTCCTCAGTCCTGTGATAACCAGAACTTTAAAAATCAACAAAAACAATGATCCTGCAATTAAAGTGGCCAATCTATTTTAGGAGCAGTTGTGATTAAATAGTGAAAAGCTCCTTCCTTTTATGTGTGTGTCCTAGAGAATTCAGGTAAACTGAACAATTGCTGTCCTTTTTTACACTCTCTATTAAGGCTACCATAGTCCTTATTTTGATTGGAACAGGCATAGATGTTCTGCAACTTGCCTTATAAAACCCAGGAGATTTCAGATTGTAATTTGGCCTTCCAGCTTTCAAGCTTCCTGCATACCCAAGCCTTAACCACTACTGCCAGTGATAAAGATATCTGGAGTTGCATTACCTAAACAACTGGAGAACCACATGTTGCTTCACCTTTGCTGTAGATTAAGAGCACATGCCATAAGCCTGACAAGGGGGAAGTTGTCTAACGGTTGAGTTTGTTTAACTGAGAAAGTTATATGCTAATATGCTTTTAGTTTATGTGTAACATCACAGAATATTTAATATTATTCTATCACCATTGTATAATTTGGATGTGTAGAATCGATAAATGTGTCCTGATTTACCATTTTTTCTTCCTCTTCCCCCTCGCTCCAAAAGCAAAAGTCTAGGACTGCAGTACAGGAGCAACAGCTTTTATTTGCCTTTTTCTACTCTTAAATTCTTGAAACTGTTACGTGAATACTAGTAGTACATCTTACATGCCATATTCCATGCAACCAGCATATATAAATGATTTCTGCCTTAAAATATGCATTTAGAGAATGCATTTGAAGTGCAATGGAATATTCAACTGTTTTTCCAGTTTTGCTTTTGTAGGGTTACAAAAACCCTAATCCTAACTTTTTCTTCTTTAAGGAGCAAACGCTCCTTAAAAAGGACTGATTTAAGGTAGCCTTCAATTTTTTTTACCTTAACAATTACACAAAAAACGAGAAGTTAGGATTTCAATAATTTATTGCACACGTTATTTTAAGAGCACTCATCCTGAACTACCTGATGGAGATGATTCCTATGAGTATCCTTAATGTTTTTTTCTTGAAGCCAGAAATATTTTGTCTCTAAATTGTTTCAATACAGGCACATTCAGTTTTAAGTAATCTTATTAGCATTTTCTGGATTGCAGGTAATACTTTACTTCTGAGATAGTCCTTTGTTTGTTTTTGTTTTTTTCTCATACCTGTTATGGATAGAGAAGAAGCATTCTAGGCAAAAAGGACCCAAAATAATAGATTGCCAGTGAGGGAGCCATTTACTTCTATGAACACTTTCTAGCTTTCTATACTTCCATTGCAATGTACATTTTCACAAAAAATGCTCGCTCTTATGTATGCGTTGCCTGTTAAAAGACATGGTTGAAGTATGTACATTAGATTGTGAGGGGCAGTCAACTATTTTCCATAAAGCCTGGTAAATTGGAGTCTTAGAAGGAAAGCATACCTCCACAGTATTTAACTTGTACTACACGTTATGGCAGCCTGAGATGAGCTATTTTAATATCTTATGGTATGGGAGAACATTGAGAGCTGATGTATACACTTTGATGTCCTTAATGCAAGTGATGTCAGTCAAAGAAGAAGGGTCCAGGAACATTAGTTGAGGTATTTCATTGCATGAAGGGCTGTGAACATTTGAAAGAGAGGGAACTTCCACATCACCTTCATGTACACCAAATCCAACCACCTGTAATTTCAAAATGCAAAATAGGAGATAAATATTACAATAAAAGCAATAGTTCCCATTACTGCAGTAAGGGCTAAAACATTACTTTATGCATGAGTAAACAACACATTAATGCTTAATTTTCAGGGGTGTACAGTTTTATTTTGAGTTAACTAGAGCTAAATGAAAAATAGTGTTTCAGAAGAACCAATTTTCTCGCCCCATGTTCAAAGCCAGGTTGTGCTGCACAAGCAAATCAATTTATTTTATATCCATCATCATCATCATCATCATCATTATATCGTGTGTGTGTGTGTGTGTGTGTGTACCCCCACAGACACAACTCAAGGCAGCAAACATACCCAATACCCCTGCCTCCTATTTTCCCCACAACATCATCCTGTGAGGTGGGTGGGGCTGAGAGAGCGTGACTGGCCCAAAGCCTCCCCGCCGGCTTTCATGCCTGAGGGAGGCCTAGAACTCACACCTTCCTGGTTTCTTGGCCAATACCTTAACCACTACATCAAATTGGCTCTATATCCTAACAATACAGAGAAATACAGTGGTACCGCTAGTTACGAATGCCCCTACTTACGAATTTTTTGAGATACGACCAGCTCCGGCCCCAAAAATTTACCTCGACTTGCGAACTCGCCTCGACTTACAAACCAGATCCGCAGCCATTTTCCGCCCGTTCCACATGGTCTGCGGCCATTTTTCCACCCGTGCCACATGGTCCACGGCCATTTCCCACCCGTTCCACGTGGTCCGAGGCCATTTTTCCGCCCGTTCCACGTGGTCCGTGGCCGTTTTTCCGCCCTGCAGCATGATCCGTGGCCGTTTTCTGCCCCTGACACGTCCGTGGCCATTTTTCCACCTGACACGTGGTCCGTGGCCGTTTTTCCGCCCCTGACGCATGGTCCACGGACACCGGAACAGATTAACAGTAATTACATTGAACCTTATGGGAAAATTTGCCTCGTGTTGCGACCAATTCGAGTTGCAACCAGAGTCACAGAACGGATTTAATTCGTAACTCGAGGTTCCACTGTAAATGGATAATTTTGTAGCATAGGATGTTTCCATTATACCCATCGTTTTACTTCAAGCTTTTGTTTTTGTTTTCTCTCTCTCAAATCTAAAAACAGTCTTGATTTTGGGTATTAAACATGGAGATTCCCCAAGACAAACAACTGCCATATCTAAGACTTAAGCCTTGGCATTCACCCAATTCAATATAAGCTAATTACACATTGTCATAAATACTCACGTGTACGCTAAGCACTTTTCTTTCTTTGTGTCTGTGTGCTTGAAACCAATCAACTAATTCTGACTGTGAAAGGGATTTTAGAGCGTCAATCTAAAACAGAAAAAATAGCTTAAAATAAAAATTAATTTTAGCATATATTTAAATAATGTAGAAATTGACCCTATATTTAAGCCATGTCTCTTCATCTATACATACAACAGAATCTCTAAAATTCTCAATTCTGATTTAATTTAACTTAAGCTAGTGATAGAACTAAACATGGGATGGAAAAACTATACAAAGAAGATTTTTAAATCTGACCAACATAGGAATATTTTTAAGAATTACCTCCCGGACTAGTCTGTCAAACAAATACTGTTGAGTCACTACTTCTGTCCAGTTCCTATCCACTTCTTCACCAAGATGAGAATCCTCACATTCTTTTAATTTAATGAGAGCTGTGACCTAGTGTAGAAAATAGGGCATCACATTTTAAAAAATAGTACTAAGGCATCCCTATTACAGATTTGTCTAGTATTTTGATAGTGTTCTAATGCTCTGAGCTTTTATAAACTAAGCATATGTGATCCAGTGAGACCAATTTATACTGTCTTTATGTATAAACAGATCTTCCGTTTCCTACTACTGTACATCCCTACAGAAATGATAATCCTCACATATAAACAGGTATCAAAAAGTTGGGAAACTGATTTCTGTTACAGTCTAATTGTCTAGTGCCTATTGTAATTACAGTTTAAGTTTACCTGACTCCAGATTCTGCTTTTAGATGTATAAATAGTTGGTAATAGTACTTTTGAATTAATCAGACAAAGGTGCTCCTGCATACTTAAATGCTGCATAATAAATTTTCATTACTTCTCCAGCCCCATAGGATTATGATAGCATGAGTCCAGTATTGCCCTTTTATACTATTCTAAACTAAATAAATTGTGATTTGCACAAGCATTAGTAAAACTATTTTACCTGACCGTGGAAAACCAAAACTGCTGATCAAGCATTTATTGGGAAAGATTTCTAGAAATGTTAATAAAGAGGTAATATCCATTACCTGAGTCTTGAAGGACTCTTCAGTCATATGTTTGAGTTTTTCCTCAAAACATGAAAGAAATTCTTCTATCTTCCTATCCACTAGTTCAGAACTGAGAAATAAATCACAAATACGTATTCTTTCTAACATTATGCATTTAGTTGAGTTCCAAGTTATGCTGTTGAATTTTCCATTGTTAAGTATTGAAAAACACATAGAAGGTGAAACTGACTGCATGAAGGCCAAATCAAGTGAAAAGCCACTGCCTCTAGTGGGAAAAACGAGGGTATTTTGTACCCCTCATAACATATTCTGCTGATGTCTTCCAACATCTTATTGCAGTATTTCAAAGCAGATTTTTATTTAATGTTAAGTCACTGGCTGTGTTTGTATGACACTTTACCTTAATTTACTCAATCCAAACATCTGGTTTCAAAAATCATATTACGTTAAATTGTGTTGGCTGTTTTGTGGTTCAGGATATCATATGCACAGTCACTAACTTTGCTTTTTTAAAGCTTAAATTTGTTTAGCGTCCTCATATAAGGCAAGTGGTGGTGGGGAAAATCATGGAGAAGAGTTTGACATAGTTGTAGAAGGTTTCTGCTGAGAAAGACCTTCTCTAACCACAAAGTACCATTTACCAGAACTACCACATTCAACAAGAAAAAAGCAAAAGCAATTGCAGAAAGCAACTAAAATGATTACTTGAATATCCAAGAAAATGCTAGAATGTTTGTGACTCTAGCTTGAAAAAAGGAGACTGAGAGGGATATGATTGAAATGTATGAAATCACGCATGGAATGGAGAAAGTGGAAAGGGAGAAACTTTTCTCCATTTCTCAAAACTCTAGAACCAGGATTCATCTAATGAAACAAATTGAAAAGGAGATCTGCAGCTGAACATCTCCCACCCCCAATACGTAATCAAACTATGGAATTCATTACAAGAGGATGAGATTATATTCACTAATTAGATGACTTTAAAAAAGGACTGGATAAATTCATAGAAGACAACTCTATCAATGGCTATTAGTCTTGAGACTTGGTGTTACCTCTGTGTTGAGAGCAGCATGCCTCCAAATATAGTTGCAGGGTAACGATGGTGGAAGATGGCTATATCTGCATTACCGGCTTGCTAGCACTCCACAGTTGTGGCTTAGTGCTGTGAGAAATAAAATGCTGGACTAAAATGGACCTTGACCTATTCCTAAATTCTTGTGTCATAGTTAAAGGCCACTGCAAAATACAAAATATGAACTGAGTAAGGGCACCACTGATTCCTTCAAAGTTACACTTTATGGTATTGACAAATGCACTCATCTAGGAAAAAATTAAGGAAAACTTCCTATTCTGAGGATATTTCTCAGAAAACATCAAGTCTGAAAAACCATTGGGTTTACAGGGCTGAAAGAAAAACTCAAGTGATTTTATCAAATATGCTACTCACTTGTATTTGGTTGCCTGTGTTGCTACAGTAACAGAGAAGCCAAGGATCCCAGATGTATTCCTGCAAGTTGCGTAGACGTGGTATCTAAAAATGAATTGAAAGAAGGAGAGAAGTTCCATAAATGTGTTCATTACATTGCAAGACAACTGACTACTGAGCTACTTCCATTAGGCAGTGGAATAATATATGCTAGGAATAGCTCTTGGCACTCCACCTGAACATCCGCAAGCTGTTTTAACAATTAGTGGAGATCTTTTTTTTTTTTTGGAGGGAGCAATTTTTGCTAAAGAACAAAACCCCAGATAATTTACAATTTGCTAGATTAATTAAAGCTCAAGTATTTGTTAAAGATTTTGTTTTCAGTTAAAAGATTATAGTGAGCAGACTCATGCTCAAAAATGAGACATGCTTTTTTTCCCTCGTGCAACTCTT